TAAAAAAGTTTTATAAGCAAATATGATTAACTTTTTGAAATTATGCTATAATTAAGCAAAATTTAGTATATTACTTGATAAAATTCACTTAATATATATCTTTTTGTAAAGTTTTTGATTAAAAGCTTTATATATTAATATCAGTTTAACTGTACAAAATGGTTTAAAAAAATAGAGCAAAAGCAAAGCAAAAGTTAAAAAAAATATTCAAAATTTACTTGAAAAACTAAATTTATCTTTAGTAATCCAAAAAACTTCGAAAAATTTGCATAAGTTTTCTAATTCAATCAAAATTTCATGTAGTTTTGTGCTAAAATGTGTGCTTTCTAAACATTCAATTTTGTGCCTTTAGTAATATCTGGGAAAAAACAGTACAGTCAAGCTGAAATATGAATCATTATTAAATTTATTAAGTTAATAAAGCTAATAAAAGGAGCTATTTTATTACAGTAATTACAAATGGTTGAAGAATGAAAATAGATAAAAATATTTGAGGAATAATTTTCAGAAGAGATTTTGATTGGCGTTGGGTTGATTATCATGAAAAAGCTTATTCACACTTAGCTGAACAAGCTTTAGATTTAGCACGTTATTTAAATGAACCTCGTCCTAAGCATTATTGGCAAGATGGAACGCAAATCTTTGCTGATGGATATAATGATTTTGATAAAATTTCTTCAAATGTTGTCCTTTCTGATTGTTAGTTAAACTATTCAATTTCTTTTTCTAGTAATTAATTTTATGATTACAAATTATAACACAATTTTAAGTTATAAAATTATTTTGCACATTTTCATCATTTGTATTTTTCTACTTCAATTATTTGCATTTATTGAAGAACAAAATGCGTATATCATTTTGTACATTTTTTTTAATAAGTAAGAAAAAAGATGTATTAAATTTTAACGATAAAAACAGTACAATTGCTTTTAATATTTTCAAAAGCTTTACATATTGATATCAGTTTAACTGCACAAAATGGTTAAGAAACATTAATTCATTTAATTAAATCAAAAATATATATATGTGCGAATTGTATTTGAATAGTTATAAATTAAATTGCTTGTGATAATTCCAAAAGCTAAATATAAATTTTTAGGTGGTATGTGGCGAGATGTGAATAGTTCCATAGACAATTTTAAATATGATGGTAAATTGGTAAAAAATCAAGGATATATTTGCGCATATCATGTATAACAAGCGTTTGATGACTGTTGATTGATATTTGAATAAATTTTTATGAATAATTATCAGAATTATCATTATTATTTCTGCTAATCAAATATGATTGTGAATGTATTGTTTTATGCATGAATAAATAAAATAAGTATGAATAAATGACTATATGAATCTTTGGCACAAAGTTGTGATTAAAACAAAATTATTCGTAATGGTGGAATAATGATAATTTATATTTAATACAAAAATGGCATAATTTCTAATTTTGAATTAAAGTGACAAACTTATTAATGTCAAGTTAATTGTATATTTTTTTTTGTAAAATGAACTCAAATTCATTACAATAAATTTACTTAATAATAGTTTTCAGTATTACTTCAGCAAACATATTAATTTTTCAATTTTCTATAACTAAAAAATATTGCTGGGCAAAAGATATTTTAAATTACTAATGATCTATTTTTTAAACATTTAAAAAATTTTTCGAATTATTAAAAACGATTTTCATAATTTACTAGCTAAAAAAATGAATATTCTTTAGTTTTTCTCTTAATCTGCAAATAATTTAATATTGGCAATCAATAATTATGAATTAATAAAATTTGCATTTTTGGAGGATTTTTTAGGTTGAAAAATTTGAATATCGCTTATAAATTTACTTCAAACAAAGATTGATTCATTTGTGCTACAATGTCAGTGCCCGATATAGTCGATGGTGCTAATGAGCAATGCGAAGAACATCAAGCAGAAGAATCTCAGAAGAAAGAAATCGAATATATAGAAGTATTTCTACTTCTGATTAATTATTTACTTTAATAGTCATTTTGCCTCTTACTTTTATTCATCTGTTATCAGTGAAGCTATCTGAATGAAATAATATTTAATTTATTTGAAATAAATTTTGTGTTTCAATGTCAAAAAGTGTTATTTTTAGAATGAATGCTTTATAATTTTTTTTCATCCAGTCCCCTGACCTGACCTTACAAATTCCATCCCGCTATGTTGTGATTTAGGTTGATGAGGATACTAAAGAACTTGACTTAACTCGACATCGAATTAAAAAAATTGAGGGATTTGATTTCTTGCGCAGCATTGAACAATTATGCTTACGCTGGAATTTGATCAAAAAAATTGAAAACTTAAACAAGCTTGTCACACTTACCGAACTTGATCTTTACGACAATCAGGTCAAAATTTTTAATTTATCTCTACTTTAAAGTTGATAACGAACTATACAAAATTTAGAATGAAATAATTTACAAAGATAAATTTAGATTACCAAAATCGAGAATCTTGATGAATTAGTGAATTTGGTATCGTTGGATTTATCTTTTAATCGAATTACTGTGATTGAAAATCTGTCAGCACTGAAAAAACTTAAAAATGTATATTTGATTCATAATAAAATTCAGAAAATTGAAGGTTTTGAAGAGGTTAGTTTGAAATCATTTTTCTAATTCTTTTTTCATTTTATATCATATAAATTATTATTGAAAGTAAATAATTAAGAGCAATTCAGATTGCATTTATCGTTCACTTCAGTTAACTGAATTAGAATACTTGGAATTGGGTGATAATCGAATCAAAAAAATTGAAAATCTTTCTAAGAATCAGAAAATCAAACGTCTCTTCTTGGGAGCAAATCAAATCCGTCACATTGAAAACTTGGATGAACTGAAGCATATTGAAGTGCTCAGTCTTCCAGCTAATGCTATTCAAGAAATCAAGGTTTTATTTGTATTTTCATAATCATTTTTTAATGATAATTGCAACTTACGAAATAAATTATTTAAAAATATTTATAAATTAAATAAAAAAGTTTAATGCAAGTAAATTTTCAAAATTATTTATTAAAATATGAATTAAAAATGATTATGTTATATTTTGTTGGGTTTGGATAAATTGGAATCACTTCGTGAGCTGTATCTATCGCAAAATGGTATAGAACATATCACAAATTTGGAGAAGAATATTAATTTGGAAATTTTGGATCTAAATTACAATTGCCTTCGTTCTATTTCTAACATCCGTCATCTCAACAAGCTTACCGATTTCTGGGCTAAAAAGAATGAGGCAATCATGAAAATTTACTTTTAATTTTATTTGTAAATGCTTTTTAAAATTAAAGATTACAAATTTAATAATCTGTAATCAATAAATTTTTTAAATCTGTTATTAAGAAATTATACAATAATAATAGCAATAATTTTGATATTTTGATATATAAGCTTATTTTGATTGAAAATTTAGCTAACAAAAATCGACGACGTTGATGAATTAACTCATCTACCGAATCTTACTTACGTTTATCTTGAAATGAATCCGTTCTCGAGTACTACTACTTATCGCGGTGCAGTGATTCGAATGCTACCACAGATAGAAAAACTTGACGCTAATTATTGCCGTGTTAGTTATTATACCTTTTTTCATTCTTGGGGCATCATTTAATAAATTTATGAAAAAGCAGATTTTCAATTTATTATTACTAAATTATTTTCAGGATACGACCAAGAAGAACGCGTGATTTTATTTGCTAGTATTGTGTGAATAAGTTTGTCCTATTATTTGCTTAGATGTCACTTTTAGCTTCACTTCGTAATTTTAATTATTTGAAAATAAATAAATAATTATGAAAATTACACTGCAGTGAATAAGACATTACAAATGACATTTTGCATGCAAATTTATGCTATTACACAAAGTATTATTAAGATAGGCAAACTGGGGTCACGTAACAAATCGATGAACCGTACATACAAATATTTATTTACAAATTCGGACTCTTTATTTTCACTTAGATTGCAGTAGCTAACTTGACTTAAAATGATGCACTTGGAATCAATGAAGTTCGAAACTTAATAAGGATCTAATTCATGTTCAACTTTCTATGTACATATGATGGTTTTTTAAAATATTACTTAACTTCACATATTAGGTTGATCTGAAAATGATCCTTTTAAGTTCCATTCTATGCTGAAATGTTTCTAGTAAGCTGTTAGGTTGCAATTTCTATTAGCATTTCCAAACGTGAAAAATTATTTGATTAAGTCAAGATCAGCTGAAGAAAGGAAATATCACTAGTTCCTCCATCACGCCTTAACTTTCACACATTCACATTTCACACCAAGCATTTTCTGCGCGAATCTAAAATATTTTTTATCAATAACTGAAATTTATTTCAACGTGCATTTATTACATGATAATCACTAAAATTTACATTGCATAAATTTGCATATGAACTTTTTCAACTTACCCGAGCTTCTTCTTCTGGTGAAAAGTCATTTTCAATATTAAAAAAAGCTCGTAATTCTTCCACGGTCTTTCCTTTGATATGATTTGCTATAGTTTCACAGCCAAATGAAAGCAAATCCCCAACATCCAAGTAATTCGCAGCCTAAAATAATTACTCTAACATTTATTTATTATTTTATTAATAATTTTTTTGTGCATAAATATTTCAAGCATATAAAACACCGATGAATTTTCAAATTATAATAGCAAACTATAATTGCTAAAATGACCTGTACAAGTTCAAAAAGTTCATTATTGTCCGGAAGTGCCAGAAAATTTTTTCGCCAAATTTTTTCTTCTTCTGATTTTCCTTCATCTTCCGTAAGATATGCTTGATGTGTACACCATGTAAGGACCTTTTATTATTCAAATTTAATGCTATTATAAATTTTGATATATATATTTTGATTAAAAATAATAGTGAAAAATTATTACTAAATTAATTAATGATTTATCATAAAATAAATGAATGACATAAAATCAACATTTTTTCATGACCTCAAATTATCCACTATTTGATGAACTTTCTAATTTTTTTAATTAATACTTAAACTATTTTTTGGAATATTTTTTGATCACTTCTGTAAACTCTGATTTAGATTTATATTGAACACGGATTTTTGCTCGTCAAATGCACAAATGTAAAATTATTATTTTAAAATTCAATTTCAAAAATTATAATAATACAAAATAGAAGAACAGATGTTTCTATTTCTTTCCATCTGAAAAGTTAGCTTGCATTGTAGAAAAATGCAAAATAATTTAGTATTTTATTCAGAGGTTAATTTTTAAATACATTTTCATGAACTAAATACTCAGTGCATTAAAAAGATATCCCTAAGATAGCAACAAAAATTATTTGCTGCCAGTCAAATTTTAATATATGAAATTAAATTAATTCTTTTTTCATTTCTGCATATTTTATATTCGTTTTTTTTCTTCACAAATGTTTGTCGTAATATATACGAATATATTTATTTACTAATTGTATAATAACTTTTGCACTTATTAATTTTGAAGTAAATATTTGTAGAACGAACCTTTTTGATCGTTTTTGCTGGCAACTGCACAGGCAAATCGAAAGCTGGTTGTGAATCATCCGCTTGGTCGATCAGTAGATCTAATATTTATGTTATTTCAAATATCAAAAAAGTGATGCAAAACTATTTTGTATAAATAATTGTTTGGTTTTTCAGTCATTCAAATAACAATCATAATTGTAATAAAATACTTTTAATAACAAAAATAAAAATAATTAACAATTTTTACCCGTCAGCATATTGTTGATAGTCTTTGCCTGTGCCATCACATCCATATCAACAATAATCGTTTCACCATCTTGTGATAATAAATTAATTCTACGTTTTTCTGATTGCGTTACATCTGTTTCAGACTGTAAAAAAAAAAAAATTACACGCAAATTTGATTCATTTTAAACAATAAAAAATAAACAGAATTTCATTTTATTAAATGCAATAAAATTTTATTCAATCAAATTGACTGCTAAAATTAACGTAATAAAACTTTCAACTTGACAACATTTAGTACTAACCTTCATTATTATAGCAGCACGTTGTGACGACAATACCTTTACAGTAATTTACTGGAACTGAACAACTAGCACTACCCAATCCAACTTTATTAACAAAAATGATATGCAAATTTAGAAAATAGACAAGTACATGAAAGCAAAAATATGCAAATTTTAGCAATAAATACTTACAACGATGAAAATTTGTGGCAAGTCAGAATTTGCATGAAATGAAATTGCATTATTCGTATTTAATTTGTAAAAACAAATTTTGTAACAAAAAATTTTTAAATAGACAAACTTTGAAGTAAATAAAAATAAGCAAATAATCACAAATAATATTCAACTATTACAAGTATCAACAGCATCCTTATCTCGCATATCAATGATGATCATTTGACTAGCTCTGAGTCCTTCTGGAGTTCCCGGGTTATGAATCCCTTTCTCGTGGTACCAGATGAAGTCACTTACTTTACCAGGTTGAACAGAACCTGGCAAAGAAGGCTTTCTTCTGAAACTTGACCTTACTGGTGGTCTTCGACATAATATTTGTGGTGAAATTGAGCGGGACTTGTGAAATCGAGGCTGTAATATCCACAAATTACCTTTTAATAATGTATAAAATTGAATTTATTCAACAATTTACGCTATTTTACAATTAGTTATTGGTCTAATAATTAAATAGTACATTTTATTTTGTTATTGATAACACATATCAGAAATGATAAGTCAACTAAAAAATGAGGTAAAAAGCTGTAAAAATGTTTTTGCTACTTTTCCAATATACTGTAAAAGTCCTCAGTGAAGTGAAAATTAATTAGTAAGTAATAGAAAGTATTCGTAATAAATTCTATTAAGTGGGGAAAAAAATAAAATTTTTGTCCTTTCAATTTTATATTATGTACTGCATAATTGTTATTAACTCAAAATTTTATGAGTATTTGAATATTACAAAGTTTATTTTACTTTTAATAATGTTCGAGTAAAGTTAATTTTTTAAGTCTACTCAAGCATTATTAAAGGTATGAAAATAATTACTGTAATGCAGTTTTTGTTATAATAATGAGTACTTAATATTTATAATAAAAGTGGCATACTAAATTTTTCATATTAAAGAAATATGGCAATTACAATAATTGCTTAAATAATAAATAAATATAATTTACTCTTTATGATATTCTTTTTGGTTAATGATGCAAATAAACAAATATGAAATGTGCAAAACTGTTGAGAGCTAACAGAAATGCAAATTATATATAATTAAAATATGTTAATTTTTTAAAATAAAAAAATGCAAAGTTTTTATATGAAATGCACAATGTTTTGAATGAATAAAATGTGCAAAATTTGAAAAGCTAGCAAAATTTGCAAAATTTGAAAAGCTAGCAAAATGTGCAAAATTTGAAAAAGCTAGCAAAATGTGCAAAATTTAAAAAAGCTAGCAAAATGCGCAAGTTGCAAAAAATTGAAATGACATTATGGTTCATTATTGCTTTTTGACAGATTGTAAGCATTTGAAGTGAAGAAAGTGATTAGATAAAAGTTATTATCAGTTATTATGTATTCAACTGACGTCAGATTTAGCTGTCAAAAAATTTGACGTTTTTGGTTGAATTGTTTCTGACGAATTTGGCAAATCTTCTGACACTTTTGCCATTTGGAATCTGTAAGGAAAAACTTTTTTAATGACAAAAATTTTTGTCGTTTTCAAAATTAAACGTAACTTTTTATTAGATATGTAATAGTAAATTAAAATAAGCAAAATTTTTGCATACTTTTTCAATTTGTGCATAATTTTTATCAAGATATCTATGATCGTTGATACAAACTCATAATATTCTCAATTCTATTATGCTACTCTAAATATTCTATAATTTAATAATTACTTAAGAATCCATGATGAATGAATGAACAGTCACTAATGAGAGAAGAAAGTTTAAGACTTCAAAAAGCACAAACTTTTGGAGTGATAATCTGTCTTCCTTCTTCTCATCGAATACTTTTTTCGGATTACAGACTGGCTGTAAGAAGAATCTTCGCCTCGCACTTGGATCTTCAGTAAATGATTTTGATCTTAAATTTGTATCTGTTATTTACGAAAACATTTTTTATTTATCTTATCAAATATATATCTTTCTTATTTTGTTGAATTTTTTCAATTTCTCATATATTTATTCATACTTATTTGCAGACTTTTATGAATATGCTAAAAAAATTCAGCTATTTTATTACAGAATATTTCATATGTCTTCTAAAATAGTTAATTCAATAACTTTAAAATTTTTTTGCATAAATTTTATCTATATCTAAAAAATTTCAAAGATCAGACAAAATAAACAAATTACAGTTTTCTCCTTGATTCTTGACTTTCTAACTTTTTTAAAGGTCGAGCTATACAAATGTGCAAGCTTTCAGTTCTATTCGTTCGAATTTGATCTAGTCGTCGAGCAATTTTTAGATATGAATCATCAGTTTGAATTATAAGATCCTGAAATTTTTTGGCTTTTCATAAACATTTTAAATATTTTTTGAATTGATTCAAAAATAAACCTAGTGTGTCAAAGCAAAATTAGTCCTTAGTTTATTGTACGCTAATAAATAATATAAAGCGTACAATAAACTAATGACTAATTTTCGTTTCAAGCAAAAATATTTGAATAATTTATTATTTATACTAATTTGTCCTCTCTGCATAATACCCTCTCCACAACAGTAATCACATATTTACTCCTTATAATAATCATACAATATTATTTTTGAAACACTGCTAATTTATTTATTATTACAATCTTATTTTTTTATTATTTTTAATAATAGTTACTTCTTTTACTTCTACTACTCACTATTTTCATTTTTCTGAAATATCATACATTAAATTAAAATATTATTATTTCATGTTTTATACAGAATCCTTACTCGTCGTAGAGGTTCGCCATTTCCTAATGAAGACTGCTCTGTTTCACTTGAACTTCCGTTAAGTGTTAACGTTGACGCATTGTAGTTTCTACAAGTTAACCGATCACTACAAAAATCATTCATTTCTAGCACAGTTTGCACGTAAGTATCGCATACATCTTTTGATTCCAATGAACATTGTGTGCTAAAAGCAGAATTTGAACGCAAATAAATAATATAAATTATTAATTACAAATTTAACATATTTTATCTTTACTTAATATTATGCATTCTAAGTTGTATACTCTTTTACAGCACGGAATTCAAAAATTTTAATTATTCTAAAATTTTTATGAATGAATTTTTCACATTGACATAATTTGAATAATTGCTTATTTTAGATATTTAGCAAAATGTAAGGATACTCAAAAAATTAACTGTATAACAAAAAATGAAACCTATATGTGCTTAATTAAATAAGTAACAAACCTATTGTCAACAGTAAAAAAATCTGTAGAACCATCTTTTTGCACAGTTCCTGTTTGCTTGCTTGTTAATGAAACTTGTTCTTGATTCTAAATCATAATAAATTTTAAAATATTTTTTAATAAAAAGTTTTAATATGTTTTTTCTAAATTTTAATATACTTAAATAACTTTAACTGTTTCTAATGAAAATATTTTTGTAAATATATTTTGGTATTAAAGTAAAAGTTGACTTCATCGTCGTCTTCATCATCAAACATTGTTTGCACAGATCGACTACATTCAGGAAATTGTAATTGTGGTATCCATGCATCTGTTTCCATAGACTGATGAAGAAGTGAATCAGAATCTTTTATTGTACTTGCACCTTGTTCTACCATTTCACGAATTGATCTGTCTATAGCCGTTGAACTATCCTAAATTAAAATATATTTTTTTAATTCACAAATTGTCAAATTAATTAATTAATTTTAAAGATTTTTATCTTTTGTAGTTAACATTTCAAATCTTACAACAAGTGATGGAGTGAATTCATATTGGATACATTTGTTGCACATTTTTCTACTTTTTTCATTCTGAATCCCACGCCCTTTCGTTGTAATATTAGTAATAGAATCATTTAATGATGTTTCAGCACTTCGATTCATTAAGTTTGGACGTACTTTGGTCTAAAATGAGTATTAAATTATTGTTAAACATTTGTATGTCACAAAAATATTTTATAAATTCAAACTTTTTTAAAAGAATTAATTATCAATTATGAATTATTACCTGTAAATCATGTAATTTGAGCATAAGTTCATGAACTTGAAATTGTGCTATATCGGTTTGCACACCACAACCATTTACAGGAAAAGTTTGAACTTGCTTCTTGTGATTATTTTGTGACATTTTTTGCTTGATGCTATCATCGATAACTTCTGAACTAAAATTATATTCTACTTAAAAAGAATCATCTCAATGAATCAAAAAATGCTGCAAATATATTATTACTAAGTACAAGTAATAACGATAATCCATGAAATATAGCAGTAATAACAATAATAAATTTGAGTAATTATGATATAATGAAAGAATTAATTCTAATGAATAAATAAATTCCAGCAACAAACGTTGTAAAATCCATTGCAAGTGACGTGACATCAGATATAGAATTAGCGTCAGGTTCATTGCGTCGTGTTGATATGCTAGAAGCAAATGCTGGAGCTGTTGTTGACAAATTCTCCCTTCAAAAATGCTAACTTTACTAAGATAATATAAATAAAATACTTAATTAATTTTATATTCCAAATGGACATTTATGTGAAATACAGAAAGCAAAATATTGTTCAGATATGAAGAGTTAGATGCAATGACTGACCATTATTGAGTAAAAAAAGATTAAGTATTTCAATTAATATGCTGAAAGTAATGATAATTTTTAGTCTATTTTATATTATATCACACATAAGAGTTTTTAGTTTTTTAAAGTTCCATCATAGTTATTTTTGATAAACACTGGTAAGGTTTGGCGCATATCTTGTGATCAGCGAAGAAGTTGCGCCAATATAAACTTCAAACTGATAATAAAATGCGCGCTACTCTCTCGCCTATTTAATAGTTACTTTTTAAAGATTCATAATAAGTCAGTCAGGTGCTCAAGCAAAAATGCAAATGATGTAGGTATTCACTCAGGTATTGAGCTATTCCTCGTCCACTGAGTACTTGCTTCTTGCCCCTTTAGCTGATGATCTTCAATTCGACTCATATCAGTCGCTATATCCTAAAAAAGTATTGGTAGCAAAACTTTTACAGAGTATATTACATAGTAAAAGAAAGTTATGAGATTATAAAAGTTAAAAAAATGCTCAGGTTATCAATTATATTAAAATTAGAAGCTAAGGCGAAATGATAAGAAAGTTTCTATGCAATGAAAACTCGATGCTTACTTCAAAGATTACAGCTTTCTGTGGTAATGCTTTCTCGGAAACGTTCTCATCCGTCTGAATATTCTTATTGTTCAAAACTCGAACCGATCTCTCATAAGTTTCAGCCTGAAATTAATAATTACTGCGCAAAATTTACCACTTTTATTTGTCAGTACACCTTTTTTTGAAACATATTTTTCACGGAATTAGGAAAGTGTTCACAAATAAAGTACAACTTTTACAAAT